TTTTTCCATCCATGTAAAATAGAGTAGGGATGACGGCGATGAAAACATCAAGGCCGCCCATTATCGCTTCTCTCTCTCGATCATCCTCCCATCGATCTGATGGGGAAGCCACTAGAGAGGGTCCATAGCACAACAACCAGCGATTTGTGGTTCACGACACAACCTCGTCGACCAGCCTCCATTCTTAGTTTGAGCCGAGAAGACAAGGATATTGGAGTTAGTAGTGTCAAGTGGTTGGGGTAAAGTCATTTTCTTAATTTAGTGTAGTGTTTTTCCTTTTACGGGTGGTAAAAAATCCTTATTGATTATTAATCGGTTAATCACTAATTATCGGTTGGCTTGGTAACCCGATAAAAAAATTCCAGCTTCCATCAAACGGCCCGCATTCTTCTTAGCGGTTAACGGTTGAGTCGTTAACACTTAACAGTCGGCTAGTGGTGCGGTTAACAGTTATCATGGACAACGCAAAGAAACGACAATTGTTTTGATGGCTACGACTTACGACGCAAGAACTAGTGGTGATTGAGGTTGATCACAAGGGCGACGATGATGATGAATGAACGTTGTTTAGGATGTCGTGCGCTTCCCCGCCTTTCTCCACATCGTCACCTTCTTTTCCTCGCGATCATGAAAGTGTGTGCTATAAACGCGCTGCTACGGATCAGGAAATCGCCGAAAACTATAAAGCAAGAATACGAAAGCGAGAATCAAAAAACACAGACACACGATTTACGTGGTTCACTAACACGATGTGTGTTAGCTAGTCCACGGGCGAGAGAGAGCCAGTTTCACTATATCGAGGAGATTACAGATTACATAGGAGTATAAGAAGTATTTATAGTACTTCTCCATGTGGGTCTAAACCTCATCCAATATGTCAAAGGAAACGGTTACAGACCAGGCTCAGAACTCGAACCCAAATAACATCGAAAAACCCAAATAACAGCGAGACCCCGACTAACAGTCGTAGCAGCTGATAGTCCAATTCAAGTCACATCAACGGTGTGGGTGTAGATTGTTTTATGGTTACAATTATGGAGGTGGATACCAACAACCAACCGTGTTTCAAATAAGTATTGCTAACTGAAACTATTCAATTTCCTTCCTAATCATTTACAATTTTGTGTTTTCTATTAAAACTTCAAACTCTTTTAATTAACCATCCTTAAATATTGCGATTTGAGAACGTATATTCAATTATTTGCATATTTATTTTTGCAACCTTCATAATTCCTTTAGTTAATTAAAAAATATCCTCTGGTTTTCTTAATTTTGAAAAGGAAAACTCTTTTAATTATTTCTTAATTATAAATTATTACAATTTTTTACTAGTTAATTATAGCTTTTTAATCCAACTATTGCAATAATTTTCTAATTTCAACAACAATAATATATCACCATTAACAAAAAATAGCTTTTAATCCCTCTTAATCACCTCGTTGAAAGTGTCTTATTTTATATAATAATCATAATGTTTACAATTGTTTTGCAAGTTGATAATAGCCTTTAATCCACCTAATCAGCTCGTTGAAAGTACATATAAATAACTAAGGTGAAGGGGTTGTTTGTTGGATCCTCCCTTTGTTTTAACGGAATCTAAGATTACTTCAGATCATCGTCGTATGATTATTTCAGATTATGATTCATCGGCGATATGCATTTGCCTTCTCGATGATTAGGTTGCTCGTACGCTTGTCTCATTGAGAAGATCGCAGTTTAGACTTTGCATTTGGGTATTGATATGTTGATATTTTAGATTCCTTCTTGCTTAAACTAATGACACTTAGAAATAGCAATGTGCTGGTGTGTTTCTCATTCAATCAGAGTAGTTGATAATCCAACTAGTTAACGCGAAAGATTCGACCACACTTTTTGAGGTGTCATTCTAAAAAAAAGTTCAGGTGTTGAGATCATCTCTCCAGCGTGCTTTATTTCACTTCGCATCTCTTAAGTACAATAAGGTTTTCCATATCATAGCAAAACAAGCCCTCCTATTGTTAGTTCAACATTTTGTTGACCATCGTGCTTTAATTTTTTCTTAATTGACTTGCAAAAGGTCCTGTAGTTCTAGTTATATACATATCTCACTATTTCGTTATAGAGTAACCTGTCAAAATAATAATTGAACACACCTTTTCTCCTTTTGTTATGGATCCCTCTTTTCTATTCGTGATTTGCAAAATCATACCGTAAGTTATATTGGACAAATTAGCGCAACAGTATTTTAGTTGATCAATAGATAGCATATTGGTGTAGTAGAACTTTGAAATAATATAATATATTAAACTAGCACTATACCAGTGTAATAACATTATAACCAACTGATATTATCAAGAACTAGATTAAGGTTCGCCCCCTTGACCGGAAGATCTTAATTTGATAAGTGAAAAGTCAATAATTTATGATTACTCATAGTTTTGAATTAGACATTTCTCATAAGCAATGTGTCTTGGCGATATACCAAAATATTAAAGAATAATAGTATAAAAGCATAAGTTTCGATTTGAAAATTATTTCAAAAACTGTTTCAAAAATGTAAAATTATTATCATTTTGAATTTATTATAAAACATAAATTTATTCATTATATCATCTAAAAACTAAATTAAATTTTAAAGTACATGGATTGACAAGTCAAAATCAAAATGAGTCATTTAACTGGGTGCACTAAATGGACTTAAATCAACCTAATCATTCGAATTTCATAATGAGGTAGTTTGACCCGCTGTAATTTTTGCAAAAATAGGCTTTCGAAATAAAAAAAGGGTTAATAGCAAATATTGCCCCTCTATTATGGTTCTTTCTCGTACTTGCCAATCTACTATGATTCACATCAAAATTATATAATAGCATATGTATTAAATACAACAACTTGGCTGTAAGATTGATTTATTTTTTATTTTCAAGTTTTAATTTTAATTGAAAAAGTCTAATGTGTCATTCCTACAATCACTCTCTTGGCAACATTTTTTAAATGTGGACAATCTTTAAAATCACATCATATATTGTATTGATTGATTGTCAATTTAACAGTATAAGACTTAAATTCATAATATTTTTATAAAATTTGTACACCATACCGATATGAAAGAAGTAGATGATTTTTACGATCGGACCTTAGCGGGTGATAATGCTTGCTTGTACACATTTATTGGTATCTTGTCCCTCCCTGTCGCTTATAGCCTTGTACTTTTTTTATATCATTGCTTTTTAGCTTAGTGTAATGTACTAACTAGTAGGTGCAGCCCCTTTTTGGTTTAATGAATCGCACCGCCTCTTCTTTTCATAAAGTTCGTCAAATTTTGGCTTTAATTCAAGACAATAGCTGTGGAACTTTGTGGTTTAAATCACCCAAGAATTTCGATTGTAGGCGTTTATAGAGATGGTAGAGTAGATGGTTTCCATCTTGTTGGAGGTCAGCTTTGTGCGAATACTTTACAAATGATGCAAACGAGTGAGCTGAGCAGCTAGAATTACCCTACTCGATATAATTGAAGTGATGTAATATACTGAATAATCGACATTTTAAGAAAATAAACGACACATCAAAATACGTCGTTCATTAATATAATTTGTGTCAGTTACGTTCACGTACACACATAGAAAAACATATTTCACTTATTCAAGGAATGATCAACCTAAAAGTTATAGATTCCAAAAGGTAAAGGTTAGAACGTGTGTATAGCATCTTTCCCTAAACCAACCCTGAATGAAATTGGTCAAAAACAGGCTCAAACCAAATGCAAGTACGAAGAGCCTATATAGTGTTTGAAGAGGGGATATATCAATCGTACAGCCAGATAAACATATTGAAAAAATAAAATAACAAATGTATACAAGATGCAATCAAAATCGCCGAGCATACTCGAAAACTCACCATAGAATGCCTCTAGTAGTCATCACGAACTTATAACATTTAGCAAGTCCAAATAGCGTTGTAAGCCATGTAGAATTGGCAGCATCGTAAGTAGGATTTCATATAAAGAGATTCTAATTTCGAGTCGGGGAATCGTAATTTCTTAAAAACAATTACAAATTATTATGCATGTCGTTTTTAGTGTATCCTGTAACAAAAACTTATCATGATTCGATCCTCATTCAATTCCAAAAAGTGTATTTCACTTAACTACTTGTTGAAAAAAGAGCGCTTAATTTGAACACTCTCGTAGTCAATTTTCATGTCATTTTATTGTGTATACAGTGCCGACTTGTAGTAACGACGCTAACGTTACAAGAAATGCACTCATGCGAACATATCAGCATATTATCAACCGTGCTTGCATTTCTCCACCATCGACGGCGGGAGGGCCAACTACACAACAACAAAAAGAAAGTTTGGCCGTCCATTGTTTATTAGAATTATCAGATTCCTAAATGTTGGGAATTCTTTTAAGCTTTGGTTGTTTGATAAGTTTAATGAACAAGGGTTGACTTCTTGTGAGTAAGGGATTTGGGATGTGAAGCCAACGCATCAAAATCTGTAATTATCAAAGCTGAAAGCAAGAAGGATTGCCTGATCGCATATTTCATGATCTTGTTTAACTACACAATAATAATATTCCTCCTACAAAATCGCATTTCGATCCCGTTGGACGCCAAACACTTGGGGGTATCTTTCCCGAGTTGGTAAGTTCATGTCTTCTTTGCTTACGTACCAAATAGATAGAATCTCAACGCAGCCTGGCAAATCTACACAGCCCATTAAGAAAAGCTTAAATTTGATTTTAAGTGAAGATTTAGATGATTTGTGACGAGACATTTGAAAGACATTACAACAGCTGTTGTTAGTTGTTACGTGGTATTGATCAACCTTTTTGTACCTTAATCCCAAAAATGTGGAACATGGTGATGAAATGAAACATCTTGCACAGGTGCTGTTCTTCCGCATGTGGTGGTTATCTTTGTCAAGAACTAGTTGGTTCCAAAGATTCGAGTTGTTGAGACAGATTCGGATTATATTGTTGTTTTACATGTTCTTTCAAATAAAAAACAACCTCATATATGCTTAATGTTTGCACAAGTCTACCGTAACTTGTATTTAAAATCAAGTGTTCATAATGAAAATCAAGAAAGCAGACAAGCAGCAGTTGACACTGAAATCACTATCCAAATCCATTGACCTCGTAGCATACTTCTTCCTGAGCAAAACTTTGGCAACATGCTCTCTACTCGTTTCAGAAGGGGGGCATCGAATTAGACAAATTAGTACAACCACACAATCGAATCACATCTACAGTATGAACTTTGCCGCTGCTTTCTTTCTTTTGCTCCCCCCTGTAACGTCGTATACGTGAAAGAAAGTCTCTTCCTAGAAACTCAAGATTTATGATACACAACCAATCAACCAGAATAACATATATTTTTCCCCTGTGCAGTGGAGATGGATGAAGACATCTGCAGTTGCAGCCACCTCTCTCCCTCTCTTTCTCCTCGCTTTGTGTCTCTCTATGGAAAGCCCAAGCGCCAGTCCCATGTTTCCTTCGAAAGGGAAGGATCCAATTTGGTACAAGCATATATTACACACTGGTGCACCGAAAATGCCTATACAATACCCGTAGAAATACTGGACGTAGCATTGATCTTGAGGGAGTACTCAGGGATGTACGTTAGACCTGTTCCAAAGAAGCAAAGTAGGAAAGAAAACGTTCTTCAAACAATTTAGCTCCAATTAGGAGGAGGAGTTGCCCCTAGAAAGAACCTCGGAGTAACTAGGAAGTTATTCATACAAGGAACTCCCCACCTAAGATCCACTAAGGACTTCCCATTGGGGTGATGCTTCTTCGCAAGAGAGCATATGATGCTTGGTTCAAGATAACTGAGGTAGTAGTGATACAGAAAAACTGAGAAACCGTACCAGCAGAATGATAGGCAATACCCTGCCCCAGGAATAATGGCTAGGGTATTATTCATACCCAATTGTAGTGGGCACAGATCAATGAAGTATCAAATCGCACATAAAGTAGGAAATAAGAAAGTGGGCCGTGGAGATTATTAACTAATTGATGCAAAGATTATATAGATTTTATCAGGCTAAGGAAACAAAGGAGAATGAAAGCATTGCAATGACACTTTTTTGGTAAATACCGAAAACAAAGATGCAGATGCCAGAATCTCGTTACCTTTTTCCTTGACATCTATCTGTAAGGTGTCGAGTGTGATTATACCATCCGTCAGGGGAAGTAGCTCAAGCTTGATTGTGGCTGTTGAGTTTGCAGGGACGCACCTGATAACAGACGAGCTTAAGATAACCTAACCCTTATCAGAATCTTAGAAGTGAAAAAACAATGTGAAAGAAGACGGATTTTGTTACCCTAATGGAACTCTGCTCTGCAACCAAAGATGAGTGCAACCGAAACCACTACTTGAAATGACATCAGGTATGGCCGAAGACTGGGAACCAGATAGACCTCCTCCCTCATTCAGCTGCTCTAACGCAGGAGGTGCAGAAGCCACCCTGCTGTGCGTTTTGCTCCCAACCTTATCACCATGTTTTCTCACAGGCCCAATTGCTGCAGCCATTCTAGGAGTTGATGGTAAAAGCAAGGATCCAACTGAAGGAGAAGCAGTGAATGAGGCTGGAGCAAGAACTGTTAGAGTTAGATCTTCAGCTGTCAAATTGGAGGCTCTGAGGGTTAAGACCTGAGAGATTTTGAAATCAGGAGACAGTAAGAGTTTATAACAAGAAGGAAGACAGGGGCATTTATAGCTCATGGCAACACCGGATTAGTTAAGATGGAAAGGAGGTACCTGCACCGGAAGATGGGAAACCCTGTCATTGGTAGAAGACCGGTGTGACAGTTCAGGTGCAACAGAAATCAAAAGATCCCTAGAGATACGTGGCCGCCAACTAGTTGGCTGCTTGAAAAACAATCTTGACTCTACATTTTTATTCAAAGAAGAAGACAGTACTTATAAACAAATTAATGTTGTATATATAATAAGTTAGCTTAGAAACTGAAGGCAGAGCCAAGTGCATACCGGTGTAGTTACAGCGACAAGATACCATAATAGCATATATGTCAGAGTTTGAATTACTACTACTCTGTTCTGTAGAATTCTGAGAAGGACGTGTAGCTGATGAAAATGAAGTTCTTTCACCCAGACCCTTGGGACTTTTCCACATTGATGATGCTGGTTTGAGGATGAAAGAGTGCTCCTCACCTCTCCTGCCAGGATTGACCGTATGGTAAGAAACTAACAGATACAGTGATGAGGGATAGGTTTGTGAATAAAACATTAACTCATATCTCGGGTTTCGCAAATTGGAATTGCAAGCTTCACGGATCTTTATAATTATTTAGGATACCCATGCAAAGACAAAATCACGCAAAACTCCTGTTTGCTAGAAACTTTTTAATAGAAGAATATCAGAGGCTGCATGTTGTTAATGGGAAAGGGAAATTGCATGTTATCCCCAAACATGATAAGGGAAAAAAGAAAGGAATACAGGCATGTATCAAGCAAACTCCATTTATCAACTCATACAGAGATCACATGAGATTACAAATGTTTTATTGCATTATCAGGGTGGACTTCAATTGAATTCAACAATCCAATAAGACAGGAACTGCTTTGTTAATTGCATTATCTAGTTCTCAAACTTACTCGAATTCTTTCCACCAAAATATGAATCATAAGTTCTTCTCTCTCCAACTAGATGCCAGAGAGCAATCAAATGTTCAAGTTCATTATAGCTCAGAGTAACATTCTCAACAAAAGAGAAACCAGACTAAAGCTGGCGACACTTGAAAGGCTGTTTAGCAAGCAGCAATTGAGAGAAAACAAAGATACCTAGAGTGGACAACCACCTGAGGGCTAGATTTGGTAAAAAGTGATCATCTCCAGCTTCAATGCAAGCTATTGGCAAGGACAAAGGTAGGCTACCCTTGGAAGCCTCGTTGAAAACCATAGTTATAGCATCTATATACACCACTATATCTGGCAAGTGTGCTGGAGAAATATTCTGCAGAAGAACTTGATTTATTAACAAGGGATTGGCAAAAATGAAAGTTTCTTTAAAGAGAATGCAGAAGCATGACATATTGGGGAACAAGAAGCACTAGGTGAAGACTGAGCAGATATATTCAGCACTTATTCTTTCCAGATTCACACCTTTATCTGAACACAAAGCAAGTCATCTGTATTACAATCTGCAGCGAAGGAATGGATCTCTACAGGTTGAATGATTTCAAGTTTTCTCCGCCATCTTTTTCCTGGAATGTACATCCCTTCCAGACCACAACGTACTGAAAATCTTTCTCGCTCTAATGACACACCCCGGAAAGAGAGAAGTCCATCGCCACCATTTTGACGATTTAATCGCAACTTCTGAGATGAGTACTCTCCCCATTCATCGATGTCAAAGTTTGGTTTAGAACTTTGGGCTTTAACTGGTTGAGTAGGTGGAATGCTATTCTGGGGCAGTGATGACATGGAATAACTTCTAAAGTGAGAGAAGAGCTGTGAACCAGAAGACACAGGCTTCTGAGATGTGGGAGCGATAACTGGAATAGGAGCTCTCTGGGGTGGGGATAAGTTACGAGGAGGAGGAAGAGTGTTATCCAAAGGAAGCAACCATGTTAGAAGTTGTCCATATGGATCAGCATTAGCCAAGTTCAGTTCATCTGCTTTCTCTGGACACAGATTTCTCGTATTGTATTTCTCAAACTGAAGAATCTCAATAACCGGATCTCTCAGGATATGAGTACCAACATTAACTTGTAGAAGTACCTGTATCCTTCCAAACAAAGATTTGGCATGAGAATCAGTATATAAATAAACAATTAACATATCAACATAGACAAGCATAGAATTTAATAAACTGTTTCCGTAAGAATCAGTAAATAGTGCTGCAAGCAAAATAAACCCTGAACTCGAGATTACAAAGATCATAAGAATATAATGTTCGTAGTCAATTCAGTACATGAAGTTTCGAGAAGTTCAATCCGATGGGGCAACAGTTATGACCAGTGCAAGACATATAGCATACCAAACAAAGACAATGGTAGTCTGATTGTCAAAGACGGAGATTAAGACTTTCAAAATGTAGTTATGGGAGTAAAAAAAAAACCTGAAATAAATCTGGGGGAAGAACTTAGCACAGCTTTAGAGATGTAACTTTAAACCAGGAGGAATTCAGACACATACCACTATATCGCCATTTGAAAGAGACCAACAGTTAACACTATTTCTGGCAGCCCCACCAGCAACATTGGCATCAAAATTTCCTTTGTCGATGAGAGCATTGAGATGAGTTTTGGCCTTTCCGGTTCCGCTCCCAAAGGAACTCTGACCATCAATGTCAGCTAACTCACGGTTTTGTCCAGCTTTCTTTGACCAAAGTGGCTCATCTGACTCCGCAATCCTAACAAAAAAATGTGAGTTCTTGAATCTGTGCAATAATGTTTCAGTTTGCCTTTTGTGATCCTCCATTCTGAGAATGGATTCGCTAGCAGAAACAACAGCTTTTGGATCACTCTTCTGTAGCAACGAGTCGTCGCCATCTTGGCCTGTAACTTGATCACTATCATTTATTTCTCCTTCTACATGATTTCGGTCATTCACGTTTCCATTCTGTCTCTCAGGGCTTTGTCCTATGCCATTTTTACACATAACAGCAGCAACTTTGAATGGAGTAATGGTTTCTGTATCTCGATCGGATGCTGACAAACATGCTATTATATGAACTTGTTCACCTGAAATAAAATTGGTAATGTAACTTGTAAAATATAAGTAGACCAACTTCCACAGTGACTACCTATCAGGTTATCTATAATTACATCATTTCCCGGGGACAAAGGATAGAGGGGTACCAGGAAAAACAAATGACCTATCCAAGGAGCGTAGGGAGTGTATATTGGGCGAAGAATTCCACTCATCAGGAAGTTCCTCTGCAAACACATGAAAATCCTTAGACTGAAAAAGAACAGTTTTCTTTCTAATTTTCACAATGTACAGAATCAGCAATTCAGACATCCTGAACAAGAAGACTAATAACCCTAGTAAACTGCAGAAGTCTGGAGATAAATAGTACTGTGTGGAATAGTGATCCATCCTTCTTCTTCAGAAACATCCGAATGCCCCTCAACAACGCAAGAACCTTTCTTTAAAGCCGAACCTCCATCACTGCCATTTTCATCTCCAACTTCATCAGAAACTACTTCTCGATATCTCGCCACTGGAGATTCGGGGAACGGATCTTCAGATATAAGACCCTCCAGAGTCTTGGTAGGTTTCGCCATATACTGCGTGTCTACAGCAGGTTCGTGAGCAGGAACCTTTTCAGGCGCCACATGGTGACTAGTAGACCGTAGCAGAAAATTCATTTCTTCTTCCCCCTCTAGCAGACGATTTCTGCAAAACCCAAAAAACTAAATGTCACAAATGCCGCACTGAAATCTTCACCAAAGCAACATGCTGGATATAGTAGCAGGGCAACCAACTACAAAACTACTTCGACTCCTATTTGGATCACCATGAAAACCACCCTCGTTCAACAAATTGAGCAGGAACCTATACTCCTAACTCCTTCCAACTCCAACCAACTATAGCACGAGACAACAGTTTCAGACTACGGATTGAATCCAAAAAGAAAACAGATCAAATCTCGAAGTACGAAGCCGTTCAGGTAGAAAGTGAAATTCAGTGAGAGAGGAATGGGAAATGGGAGAAGCCGGAATTGGAAGGATCAATTGACGACTCCAAGTTCAGTAAGCGGAAGCTTAAAGCTAGAAACCAATTTAGAATGGAAGAGAGACTGAAGATATATCACCTGATCGGAGATGAAAGACGGGAGATCGCCTGAGGAACGACGACGGAGACAGAGATGGATCTACTTTCCTGGAGGAGTGAGATACGACACTGAGACGTGCAAACGGTTCAGAAAGGTGGATTCGGGCTTCTGACAGACAAAAAAGAAAAAGATCCCGTTTCCCGGCGAAGAATTGCGGGCCTGTACCCAAAACAAAAACAAAACAAAAAATTGCAGGCCTTTAATGGGTTTGTGCCCGAAATTGATTTACCCGCGGAGCCCATCCAGCATCAGGACATCCCGGCCTGTAGTCGTACCCACATTGTTTCAGTTTTTGGCCTGCCCAAACCAGAAGTTTCAGAATTCTGAGCACTCAACTCTAGCTAGGGTGTGATCAAATGAATATGATTTATGATGGCAGAAAGTAACTAGTTAGGGTGACAAAAATGTTTTTTAATTCACAATATCATAAGTTTAAGTGTTTTTTTGGAATAATTAGGGAGTAGTTTTTTTTTCCAAGTAAGATCAAAGTACAATAGTTAAATCCTCTACCCGAAACCCCGAAAAAACAATTAATGAATCCACCCTACAAAATCGAAGGACGCTATCTCTACAGGGGACAGCAACAGGGCTTGTCTTGCCACTCTATGGGCAGCCCAGTTGGCAGTCCTCGGAATCGCACTAAAAAGAATACGCGAGGAACAGGAACTCAACAACTGAAAACAATCACGAAGTAAGGCCCGCCCACCGAATCTTCACAGCATCTACCAGCAAGTTGACGAATGACTACTTCAGAATCTCCTTCAATGATGATGAGGGGAAGACTTCGAGAGATAACAAGAGAGATGGCGTCCCTTGCGGCCAAAAGTACTTCTGCAAGATAGGGATTCGAAACTCCAGGATGATGGAATCCCAAGGCCAAAAAGACTTGCCCATCTGAACTTCGAGCGACGAGTCCTGACGAGCAATCCGGAACACGAATAATTAGGGAGTAGTTTATCATGTCGTATTAGTGGGTATGAAAGAGTTATTAATAGGACGATGTAATTTGTAATTAGTGGGATTTTCTCATTAGGCAATTACAAAAACCAATTATCCACCCTAATCTCCTTCTCTCTCTTTTCCTCTCCTCTTCCCACGTCTCCCTCTCCTCCCTCAAAGCTGCGGCAGCAACAACCCTTCCCCATCCCTTGTCCTTCAATTCTTTCCCTACTCTAAATCTCTAGTTAGATAAATTCCTAATTGATCTAACTATTTTTCCCTATTCAAAACTTGTTAGAAGCCATGTTTCTAACATTTGGTATCAGAGTCTGGTTCGAGAGTGAGTTCCTCACAACTCTTGACCAGTGACAAATCGGAAGACTGCGATGGTGCTAATGAAGTCACAAACAACGACAGAGAAGGTGGCTAGGGACGCACAGACGTCGCAGGCTACGACAGCTGAGAAGAGACCCTTGTCCCACAAAAGGGGGGGGGGCGGACGGAGTGGTGGTGGACGAGACAAAGTTCGAGGCGGTGAAGCTGGCGGTGCAAGAACACACTTGTCTCAAGGAAGGATTGACGAGGTTGCGTGCCGAGGCGAATATGGACGAGACAGACTTCAGCGACTCCTGGAAAATCTCTCCCAGGCACTGGAAACACTGCGGGAGTAGGGAACGGTGGCATGGGCCACAACTGGACAGACCCCAACGATGGCCAAACCAGGAGCGTTGATCCCGGAGGCGAGCGGGGAGATTGGGCCGCGAGGCGGGTCCTCCTTGGTATTGTTCGTGCTCGACGAAGACGTCGACCTGAGAAGACGGCGATCACACCGACGGGAGAAACAACGTAGGTCGAAGGAGCGAAGGCGACGGACGTAGGGCCGGGGAATGCGAACCACGTGGGCCACGAGTTGCTCAAACGCGGCCATGGGCCGGTTTTGCTACAAACTCCTTCGACAGAGGAGATAGCGGCCCTACGAGGAAGGTCTAAGATGCCGAGCTATGACAACTTTGGGCCCAAGTTGGGCCATGGACCCCACGAGTTTGTGGGTCGAGGAGCAAGGTTCGGACGCTTCAAGGAACCTAGTGGGCTAGGGTGGCTGGTATGGATCCAGAAGAAGATGAATTTGACTTGGCAGGAAAATCGAAGAGTCGGGCCAAACCAGGAAGAAGCGCACCCGCGTGGGGCAATGTGAGAGAGGCGAACCGACTGACTAGGTTGGGTCTGACACGGAGCTGGTCAAACGAACTCAGGTCGACCTAGATAGACCGGAAGTGATCGGGATGAGCCGGGTCGAACCGGATGCGAGTTGAACCAATCCATCCATATTCCAATCGGAATGGGCAACAAGGGACCCACAACTTGGCGGGAGTCCTTCGGGGATTTGAGAGCTTCTTATCCTCCTTTCACAGGCCCCCCGTTTGAAGGACGACCATTGGCCGAAACTGGGATGCATGACATGATCAGAAGGACGGAATGGAAGGGTATGCGGAGTACCCATTCGAGGTAGAGGACGCGTGGGGGCGAGACATGGAGCCGTAGTTTCAGTGGGACTATCGTGGTCGAGCTCCTGGCTATGGTAGGTATGGCATATACTCTCGTGGCTATGATGATGGTGACCTTGTGTTTAACTCCAAACCCCCTACCATTGAGTTTCCCAAATTCAACGGTGAGGAGGATGCATGTCTCTAGTTGTATGCATCTGACAGATGGTTCAAGAACCATCCCACCAAGGAGGAACGAAAGACACATTTGGCGTCTTTCTATTTGGACTAGACCTGGCAAATTACAACCCGACTCGTTGACCCGAACCGAAACCGAACGAAAGACACATTTGACTCTCACAAACAAACAGCCACACATTAGCTGAAATAAGAAAGAAAAAATAATCATCTATGAATATTCATGAATAAGCGAAATTCGAATGAATCCGTATGATTGTAATTTTTTTTTTGTCATAGATTGTAATTTACCACATAAATTTTGTACAAATATAAGTATAATAAAGACCTAAATTAATTAGAATAAAATAACATATAGTCACTCTTCGTCTCCAAACCAACCGGTGTTATCCCTATATTCAACGGAGAAAATAGAAACTAGTAACGTCACACAAATATATAACATATCTCAACACAATTTCCTTAGAATCTACATTCATATTGAAATAAAGTACAACATAATAGACGAAATGACAAATGGTCATATTTAAATATAATATTTAACGTTAACATCCAAATATTTATAATTGAATCTAACAAATAATAACACCACCGATATTTAAAATCACCAAAACGACGTAATTTTGTTTAGAGATCGAAAATTAATAATATCGCTTGGACTACTATTCTTGTCGGTATAGTGGTACTGACTAGTTTTATTTGGTATTGGCTACCACTTCATATTGCATATTCCATCCGATTTGTGTATGAGTCGTGCTGACCACATAGTACTCTGTTTAATATACATATATATGAATGTACATTTAAAACTTTCATGTTCGTATTATTGTCAATAAATTTTATTTTTCCTCGTCCTTTTGATGGCTCTCAGACTAAACACGTATAAAACCAGTATAACATGTTTAATATCTATTTTAATGAATTAAATTGTGAATGTAAATATTGTTTATGTATTTATTTATTTTTAAAATGATTAATTATATATATTTTACAACTATTGACATACTATTAACATTACATAAATTTAGAGACAATATAAACAATCATACGTAATTTAACCGTACCGTATTTTACTAACTCTGTACTATTGGTTTAACAACCACCCACCGTCCCACCCCTAAAAAAAACCACGTTTTTTTATGAATTTAACAACCATACTTGCAGGCGCAGCCTCTTCTTCTTCAGAGAATGACATGTCAGATTTTGCATAGTGTTGTTGATGTGCATCGCCCCCTCAACTCCGTTCATTCAAACTCTTCCACTCCCACAAATCGCACCCAGATATTTTCCCACTGTTTCCTTCCAATTCAATCACTGACCACCCAAACTACAATCACTATTCTTCTTCCCTCTCTTCTCTTCATTTCCCTCTTCCCCCTTCTGTAAAAACCTATGGACTCTTCCTTCCCCAACTGAATTGAAATTGAGTTCATCTGTGGGTCTGTCCGTGTTCTGTGGACTGTAATTCGAGATTATCTTGAAGAAAGGCTTCAGCTTTGAGCTGCTTGCGCACCCGCGAAACCAACCTGTCACATGGGATTGGCGCTAATCACCGGCGAAGGCAGGATTGCGAGGAAGACTTCGAACTTAGGGAGCTCTTCATGGAACCACCGCAACTGGGTTTGATCGAGCAGTCCTTCAATAGCAGGTACTCCAACTGGGCACGCGAGGCGCTCGACGAATTGCCTGACAACTTCACCATCACCGATCCTTGCATTTCGGGCCACCCAATCGTGTTCGCCAGCGGGGGCTTTCTCAAGATGTCTGGTTACTCGCGCGACCAAGTGATTGGGAGGAACGGCAGGATTTTCCAAGGCCACAACACTTGCAGAAGGTCGGTCATGGAGATTCGGGAGGCGATTCGGGAGGAGCGCGAGGTGGAGATCAATTTGTTGAATTATCGGAAAGACGGGACGCCGTTCTGGATGTTGTTTCGGATGACGCCGGTCTTTGGTAAGGATGAGGGCCGGGTGATTCATTTCGTCGCCGTTCAGGTTCCCATCCTGCCCCGGAGGCAGCGGAGGGGAAATGGGGAGAGATTTTGTGACGGGATTTGGTCTAATTCCTGCAGAAGGGAAGTCTGCTCCAGTTCATCGGTGGAATTGGCTGGAGTTTCAGAGGCGGATTCCGGCTGTAGAGGTTGGTCTTTCAAAATTACTACTTTTTTTCACCCAGTTCAACTTCTTGGTACTAGTTTTCTTCCTAATGTATTGTTGGAGACTTGAATACTAGTTTTGATTATTGCTGATCAGTTTCAGTTAGGCAAGGCTCGGTTTCTTAACATGTTTGTAATTACGTTTTTCCTTGACTGCAAGCTACTTAATGGGTTTCAGCTAATCTCATTTCTAGAATTTGGATTAGTTCTCTGCAGCTGTATGGTCATTGTATTAGCTTTTATCTGCTGCAATTGGTCATTATCAGCAGAGATTTTTCTTGAAGATTTCTTGGAACTGTCCTTTTCTTTTGTGCCTCTTCCAGTTAATGACATACTTGTTCTGTTTCCGCTGAACACATTTGGTTCATATTGCATAATTTCTGTCTAATTACAGCACTTGAGGTCGAAGAACAATGCGAGGCAAGCGACACAGAGAAGCAAATAGCTGCAACTGCTATTAGAAACGTGTTGTCCGTGCTAACCCACTATAGCGAATCAACGGGAAGATTGGTGTGTGAGAAGAGATTTGGCCCCAACCTTGTCAGTTCATCTTTACATATCTCTCTTGGTAGAATCAAACAAAGCTTTGTATTGTGAGTTTGTTTTATTTTCTTGGCTTATTGTAGCTATTTCTGAGCGTTCTAGCTTTCAGAGAACAGTAATGTCTTCAAGAATTAATATCGTTCTCGATCTCTTTGCTTTCAGGATGGATCCACACATGCCGGAGATCCCTATTGTTTATGTTAGTGATACCTTCTTAAGAATGACGGGTGCGTTAGGTTTTACCTGGCTTCACTTGCTGTAAAATGCAGGCTGCTGTTCTTGTCTTTTAATATATTTTTTTTGGGTTTTGTAGGGTATGCTCGAAATGAATTTATAGGGCAAAACTGCAGTTTCTTAACTGGTGTTGATACAGATCCCTCGGCTCTACATCAGGTGTCTCAGTGTCTGTTCTCTTCTTTTATTGGGAACAGATTTCCGTGGTTTCTTTTCCTAGACTTGTAATGGATCCTCTAGTTGACTGAAAACTCTTTCCCCCCCCCCCCCCCCCCCTCCATTTCAGATAGAGCTAAGTATCCAAGCTCAACAAGCATGCTCAGTACGTATTTTACATTACAGGTTGATGCTCAACTATTATCGAATTGATAGCTTAACCAGCGAAATTATGTTCTCTATCCCTCCCACCCTAATTAGCTATATTTCTTCTTTGATAACAGGAAGGATAAGAGCTTTTTTTGGAATCTTCTGCACATTTCACCAGTTCGTAATGCTACTGGCAAGGTAATGTGAAACTGCACTTCCCCATCCCCTTTGATCTTCTGTGTTCTGAAGTTGTTATATTTCGTTAAACCCAAGCTGGGTTGCTGTTTCTATATTGTATGTAGACTGATCTCGAGTGATGGAATAGAGAGGACTTGCAAATGTATAGAACGAACAGGAACAAATAATCCCAGCTGAGGTTGAAGTAGTAAATCATTTGTTTTCTTCACATCCACTAACCACTCGAAACCGATTGGAATGACCTCTTGTTCGGGTCACTTCTGTGTTTCGGATTTGCACGACTCAGTCGATCCTTCTTCTTACTCTTTATCCCTATGTTTGTTCGTTCAGATAGCATACTTTGTGGGTGTCCAGATCGAAGAAGGCAGTTTGGATCGACATGGATTGAGTCCTGAGATGAGGCAGCTGAGCGTCGTTGGATCAATCAAGGTGGCCGTGAGGAGTTCATCAATGTCATCTTCTTCCTCCAAAGCATCATAACCTTCAATGGATCCATACACCAGCGCAGAGAGAGAGAGAGAGAGATAGAATCCTCTCGCTGTAGCAGAGCAATCCTTGAGGTTGACCTTATATACGTACATAACGTTTTGAACAAGAAATTTCAAGTCTTTTTAGCAGTGTTATTAAGACCGGACCGAGCCGGCCGGTCGGACCGCTAAAGTCGCCATCCGATCGCTAAACCGGCTCGGGCCAGTCATTTAGCTGCTACGGTTTTATGGAGCGGTCGGCGAGCGGCCAAGGCGGCTAACCACTCGAACCGGTCGCTCAGTTTTCCTCTTACAGCCGTTCAATTTAATAAAAAAAATTGAAAAGGAAAATTGAAAACCAAAGGCAAAATCGTGGGGCTGGGAAAGAAACCCTAACTCTAATTCAGTTTTCGTCTTCGACTCTTCGTGAACAGAGGGAGAAAAGCAGCGCCAGACCCTGCCGCCGTCAACACTTCCCGTCCTGGCTTTCCGTCGGCATCGTCGCCATCCCCAATTAGCGTAGCAGCTCCCAACTCGCCATCACCAGTCTCCGTCCCCGTCCCCTCTTCCAGTAGCAACTCCTCCGCTCTGTCGTCACTTCCTGTCCCGGCGCTTCCCGTCGCCATCCCCAATCCATGTAGCCGCTCCTGGCTCATTGTTAAGATTTAAGAGTGTAATTTACTATTTAATCATGGTTTACCATGATTAAGAGGTGTCACTATTTATACTGATTGTTTAATAGGTATTGGTTTTTTAATGATTTTTAAACGGTTTAATGTCTGTTGGACCGCTAAAGGCCGAGCCGTTCACATTATCGGGTCATACTCCGGTTCACTTTTGACAACATTGCTTTTTAGTAAAAAAATCAGTCTGCTTTTATTGAAGGGAGGAGGATTGTGGATAATATTTTAATGGCACAAGAGCTTGTGAGTGGCTATCATAAAAGTAATTTGTCTTCTGGTTGCGCTATAAAGGTAGACCTCATGAAAGCATTTGATTCAGTTCACTGGGATATTTGTTTCTCATGATGGAAGTAATGGGGTTCCCCCAGAGATTTATTTACTAGATCAAGCTTTGTGTTAAAACAACAAAGTTTAGTATTTGTATAAATGGTGCACTGTGTGGGTTCTTTGGGGCACAGAGGGGGGTGAGGCAGGGGGATCCCCTCTCATCTTACCTGTTCACAATTGCAATGGAGGGGCTATCTCTTCTCTTGAATCGAGCTGCAGCAGAAGGAACCCTGGCTTTCCATCCTCGGTACAAAAAAGTGGGGTTAACACACCTGTGTTTTGCTGACGATCTTCTCATCTTCACAGAGGGTTCAGGGCAAGCTATTCAGAAGGTTCAGGGGATATTGAAGGAATTCCATACCATTTCTGACCTAAAGTGCAATCCAGGGAAATGCGGGGTGTATTTTGGAGGGAAATCAGTGCAGTTTAAGCATAATGCCTTGCAGGTTTCAGGGTTTGCAGAGGGCATTTTACCTGTTAGATACTTAGGTGTGCCTCTTATTTCAGGGAAGTTGCCTTCTAGTGAGACTGACAAACTGGTTGCCATAACATGCAGATCTTTATTTTGCCCAAAAAAGTGATTAAGCAAGTTCAAATGGTATGTTCAAGGTTTCTCTGGCATGGGGGAGAAGAAGGACGTGCTAAAGTGGCAAGGCCTCGAATGGAAGGAGGTTTGGGTTTACGTGAGCTAAGTGCCTGGAATAAGGCCTGTACAGTTAGATTTCTCTGGCTATTCTTAATGAAAAGTGGAGCTATCTGGGTGGCTTGGTTTCAGCAGTATAAGGTAAAGGGTCGTAGCATATGGACTGTTTCTGCCTGTCCGAGCAGTTCTTGGGCTTGGCGGCGTATCCTCAAGATGCGCCCTATGATCCAACCATTACTTTTGATACGTAATGCTCAGCTTCTGTGGGACAATAAACATATGCCTGTGTTCAAAGTTTCTGTAGTTTGGAACACCTTGTGAGTCAAGTATGAGGTGGTGGATTGGGCAAAGCTTATTTGGGGGAAGAATTATGTTCCCAGGAACAGCTTTCTAGCCTGGATGATTATGTTGGATTGTGTTGTCACTAAACAGAAGCTACTGCAGTGGGGTAAACAGACTGATGGTTTGTGTGTGTTGTGTGGTAATGAAGTAGAAACTAGAGAGCATTTATTCTTTGCGTGTGGGTTTTCTCGTCAAGTTGTTATGGCACTGCAAATGGGGGAATTCTGCTGTAGATCCTGGGAAGCTACTGTTGCTGCAGGTATCGCCAGTTGCAAGAGGCCGAAGCTGGGGAGAGTGACCAGTTTGATCTGGTGCCTATGTTGCGCTGGGATTTGGAAGGAAAGATGTCGTCGAATGTATGGCAATGCTAGAAAAACAGTAGAGGACTTTGTTCGGGAAGTTACTACTGAGTTGCGGATTATTTGTGATGATAATGAGATCCTACTTGAAGGTCTGCAGTAACTTGGGTTGCAGGGGAGTGTGTAGAGAATGGTAGTTGTTGGTAGGTCTTTGTGGAGGGCGTGGTAGGGGGTAGAGTTTTTTCTCGTTCTGCTTTTAGGGCTGCTCTACTTGAGCTTTCCTTTTCGTTGTATTGGTTTGACCATTTGTGTCTTGCAAATGGTCTCTTTTTTACCATTAATAAAAAGAGTAACTGATTCAACGGAAAAAAAGGGCTTAGTCAAGTGACTAAGCACCCCCCTTAGTCACATGATCCTTTCTCTTTAATTAGGTCTTTAATTATTGTTAACTTTTCAATAGCTTATTTTATTGGTTATAATTGGGAAAGGGAGGGCTAAATTATTACAGATTATTATAATTCCTAAATTTGTACAAGATTTACATGTAATTTTACATATATTTCAAAATTGAGTGGGATAATAGATAGAGTAGTGCCTTAGGATAGATTATATAAATGCACAATTCATTTGGTGTTAGCAGCTTTGCGCTTCCTTGTACGTTTTATTAAAGAAGCATAAAGCGACTGCAAGTCGGACCATACTCCTTGCTAAACCGGGATAACGATATAAATTGGTTTGACAACATTTTACTTACGTATTAGTTTGTGTACAAAGTACTAATTGAAAGAAGAAATCCCCCAGCATAGTCGATTACTGTGCAGCAAGAGAGCTTTTACTGTCCATCTAGACTCATGCGTACTGTTTCAACTCGGCTGCGGATCCAGTGTGGGGAGGTGCAGGGGGCTTCTGGTTGCCTGGTGATTGAACTTGGTGGTTTTGGTTGTGTTTGGACTCTGGTTTCACTTCTGGTTAGCCTTCTTTCTTCCGTCCCACAGATGCGTTGGTCGATCTGCTCCTTTCGTTAACCCCAATTTGTCCCTTTGAGTTCCGAGAAGTTGTCAGAAGGGTCTGGTGGACTTTTTGACTCTATTTGAGGCAGTGAGAGGGTGGAAGATGTGATCCTCATTTGCTGCGCCGAGGTGACTGATATTTCATTTTCTTTTGTTTTTTAATATTGTTAGATTTTTCCTTACCGCACAAGTGACCTGATGGGTCCGATCTTCGATGGCTTTTCATCATCACATCTCAGTGGAGAGAGACGACGAGGTCGGAAGAAGAGCTCCGATCCGCTTAGTGGGACTGTGGGAGGTGAGAGATCATATAAAACAGCTGATTCATTTCTGTCTGTTTTCATTTTCCCATTCTTCTTTTCGATTTCTCCCTCTTCTCCCTCTCCAATCTCGACTAGCTTCGATTCTCTATAGACTCGCTCATAATCTCTCATTGAAAGGTAGATGAACTTTTTTGCTGATTTCTCTATTTTCTGGGTTTTGTATGCAGCATGTCCAAGTCTATGCGGTGTGGGAGAGATGCACAATTTCAAATCCTTATCCGACGAAATCGACCAAACAGAATTGTGGCGGTGGCTCTGATCTTCACCTCGGTTTCGCGGCAGCGGAGATGTTCAGGTCCAGATCCACACATTCACTTTTTGGTTCAAGGTGACTGTCTGTTCTCCCTTCTCTCTCTCCCCTGACCAACTAAGAGAAGCCACAGATATTCATTTTTTTCCTTTGGTTTCGGATGATTCATCACTCTTATGAGTTTCTTTTCTATGCTCTCTCCAATACTGGTGGTTCGGTTTTGAATGGGATATATCAATGGATCTGGGTGGTCGTCGGTTTCCTGTGATGCCTTTTTTTTATTCTCTTTTTTGCTGCCGATGCTCGGTTCCTTCCTTAGGTTGTCTACTTTACCGATTCGATTCCTGTGGGTGTAGAACGATGAATGGACAAACGTTTCGCAAGTTTTGGTGGATCAAAACAAGATTTGGGGATTTTTCTTCAAACGTCCTGCGTTGGCCAGGTGACTTTGAGATGTATACTTTTACTAATTTTCCTTCCATCTTTCTTTGTTACAATGGAATAATGCCTCTTATTTCGTTTCAATTACAGGGAATTTCTACCAGAGCCGAGTCCTTTAATTTACCATGGAAGCATTGAAGACAGATGAGTTTCTGAATTAACAAGGGATAGACTGATGATTGCGGCTCTGGGTTGATCGTATAGAGGATGTGTGGGGTTCAAAGAGTTTTTGGATTATTTCAGTGACCTCTTATGTTCACTGGCTTTTTTCTTATTCCCGTTTACGGTCGGTGAAAGGGAACCAAGTTGGAGGAACTCTACTCAGATGCAGCTATCTTTTAGTCTCGGTTGGGAGTTAGATTCAAACCTACGGATCTTCTACTTAATGCATCCTGTTGTTTATCTATATTCTAAGTTATATCATGTTTATTCATCATAAGTGTTTTTTACATTTGCTGTGGGATTGGTGTGGTCGAAACTTGGATGGCTCAAGAAAATAGTTTATGTTATGTACCATTCTTGGTTATATGTATATCATTGATGAAGTTCTTATTTACACCGAGTGCAAGTAGGTACTCATGACATGGCCTGTAAAATAATTTGGTTTTGGCTACTTGCTCATGTATTTATTTTGTCGTGTAAAATCTCCTTAACTTGGTAATTAGGTGTATTTGCTGTGGCCTATAAAATGACATTTTTAGCTAATGGTTGGCATCTTAATTTCATAATAATTGTGGTGATATGGTACTTCTATATTTTGTTCCAAAAATTTCCCTTTGTGGACGTCGGACAATTCTCCTTTGTGCTTATGAAAGTTGTGACAAGGATCCTCTAAATTTTCGTACCCGTCCCGAAGCGGAGCGCGGGCAAGAAAACTAGTTGTCATATAATCACATAACTCTAGTTTCTCCGTGTCAGAGCTAGAAATCAAGAGTGAGGGGCTAAACAATTTAAGCGAATAAAATTTGAACCATTGTAGACTTGTAGTTGGGAAGTGGAAAATAAAGCATTACTGACTATTTTATTTTTGCGAAATTATGACTAATTTTTCATGTATTTCTAATCGTAGCGATACATTGAGGGTGGTTAGATCCGGCACCGTAGTAACTGGTAGAAGGGTCTCGGGTTTGTTGTTTATATACTCCTGTAAATCGAAGACCAAGATGCAAATTGAAATTAGTCCAAGACCAAGATGCAAATGCAATTTGCTTAAATCGAATAATTAATGTTAAAATGTTGTGTCCTTGCAAATAATTAAATTATTGGTGGAGAAAGATATGAAGAATGTAGGGAGGGGAGGGTATTGAGTCAGCACTCTTTGAAGGCGATTGATATTGACAAGCTTTATTTCTTAATGTTCAATTTTCCTTCGTGTTCCTCGTTGTCATGGTCATCTACATTAATCTTACAACAACCACCTTTTCCATATGCTACTTTTACAAGCTAGCCGTTTTCATCTGTATGTTTTCTCTCGTGCATTTAGGTTTTAATTTAAAAAAAATCATATTAGTTGTAATTTATATAATGACATCCATTTTATCATATGATAAAACAAAATAATTTCGCAATGATAACAAGCTGCCTACATAGTTATAAAAAAAAATCATAATTTATCTATGATTTACAAGATGATATACACGGAGTGTTTTGGAATTAAAAAAAAATTCCACGCCCAGCAACCATGTGCTCCGTGAAGATACAGAGGTTGTGTTGTGTATGTTGTATTGCTTGCAGTATAGTTTGTATGACTATAAGCAAGCATGAGGACATCTTCCAAATGTTGACAACATTTATTATTACGAACAAGGGTTTGACCTAGTGGTAATATCATTAGCTTAGAATCTGCCTGGAGTTTTCAGGTTCGAATCCCTTAAGTAGTACCTTAATGACAACAAAATGAAACCTATATCACCCTTATAAAAAAGATAATATTTATTATTATATACACCCAAATCTGAAGTATATGATGGACAGAACTATAATTAGTTTGTATGACTATAAGCAAGCATGAGGACATCTTCCAAATGTTGACAATATTTATTATTACGAACAAGGGTTTGGCCTAGTGGTAATACTATTAGCTTAGAACCTGCCTGGAGTTTTCAGGTTCGAATCCCTTAAGTAGTACCTTAATGACAACAAAATGAAACCTATATCACCCTTATAAAAAAAGATAATATTTATTATTATATACACCCAAATCTGAAGTATATGATGGACAGAACTATAATTAAGTTGTACTTAACTAATAAGAGAAAAGGACACTCAGTTTAGCTTACGATAAAGTAGAAGTCTTAGCAAAAGGAAATTCTGCAGAGATCTGCAACCAATTTGACCCAAAAAATGGAGTTAATGAAAGTCTCAATATCCAGTTGGCCACGTCAACTGTTTAGTTCGGCATTGTGTACGGTATATTAAAAAAAAAAAAACTTCTTGAAATTGTTGGGGACTTGGCTGGCGTATTCTACTTCTTGACTTAACGTGCGATATGTCCAGATAGAGATAGCTAGAGTTGTGTATCAAATATTTAATTTGCAGGAGTTTTACTTGTACCATGGCTCATCATCTACAAGTAGACACATGACTCATCTAAGAGAAAGTCAAATAGTCATCATAAAGACTTTTCGTTTGGAACATATATATGCAATACTTGATCCTTTGCTAAGATTCTATAATCTAATTTTTCCTTTTGTTCTTATATGTTTTCTTCTCCCTTTTGTTCGATACATTCTTTCATTCACGTTATCAGCTCGAGGAAACACAAATTGAAAGCACAAAATGAGGTTGTGATTTGTGAATAGTTATGTCAATGGGGCGAGGTATGGTGGGTATGTCAATATTCATGTCCTGTTCCACGTTACTGGTGGTTTGAACGGATAATACCCGTGTGGGTACAGGGCGGGACAGGAAGACTCACTCTTACATGTTATTTGAAAAAATATACACAAAATTTTACTTTTACGATAAAACAAATGGGAATACATTTTATGAATGAAAATAGTGATAATAAAATGGGTAATTCATTTGATTCTAACTTGTTGAAAAAAGTTAAAATATGAGAAATATGAATATATAATGTAAGAAATTGAGATAGATTCGGCCAAGAACAGGACGGGTGGGGAGAAAGTGGATATCCATTCGTCGCCCCACGCTACAACGGATCAGATAATACCGTCCAATCGCGAGTCATGTAAGATAATACACACGACGGGACGAGTTCAAATTCCCATTGTGAACTGACCAATTTTATTGATGTAAACTGAAAACATAAATACCTAACTGCAACCAACAATCTCGACCTGTACCAACAGCCCTTGACTCCATGACTCTGATTTATAGTTACACGTTGCTAACACAATTTTAAAGTTCCTCAGGCAAAAATGTTGCAGGAACTTTACTATTCTCTAAAGAGCACCTCATCATGTTTATGATGGTCCTGTTATTTCTCTAGACAATCCCATTTTACTAAGGAGTGAGTGCAGCTGCGAGCTACCTCATAACTCCAGCTTCCTCATATATTAATTTAAACTCATTCCACATAAATTCTCCATCTCTATAAATTTTACAGCAAATACTACTAGGAAAATTGAACTATTAACTTTGTGTCATTTGTGTTTTAAAGTATTCAATATGACATTCGTGTCCCAGCGTTTGATAGTTGTGTGTCATTTGTATCCTGATGATTTCGTTGACCGTTATAAATAACGGTTGACCAGACAGACGATCGTTAAGTCATTTTTCGAAGCTTGCGTGGCATACTCGTGGTGGCCACATAGACGCCACAGAGGCTTACATGTCATGTTTCAATTTTAAAACCCCTACTTTTCATCATCTTCTTTGGAGCTCATCCCCTATTTTTGAACTTTCTTTGCGAGAGCTGGGTCGGCGCGAGGAGAGAGCATAGGAGAGACGGTGATAGCTCTGACAGGTCAGATGTAACGACATTGGTTTTCAGGAACGTGGAGCGACGACGGTAGTAACACCGCCGCCAAGGAGCAACTTTGGTATTCACTTTGGCGAGTATAGTGGTGGTGCGATAGCCTGGTGCGAAAAAAGACATTTATTGAGAGGTGATTCATCTATTCCTAGCTTTATATATGTTGTAACAATTAGGGTTTGATCTACTTGGGTCTCCATAATGAATGGGTTTCATGGAAGCAATTCAAACATGTCCGGTAGGAGATTCGGCCAAAGCAATTATGACTCCAATTCTTCCAATTCTTGAATAGTGAAGTGTGGGAACAATATACCAGCAAAGACTTATGTTTTCGGGACTGAACTCAATCCAGGGAGGGTATTCTACTGATGCCCGTATTGAAAGGTAATTTAAGCATGATTTGTTCAGTTGGTGGGAGTTTATTCGCAAAGAACAACTCACTTCATCTTGAGTTCTTTGTCAGGAGCCTAAAAAAATTGTCTATTCTGGCGTTGGGTCGATGCGCATAGTGATGAGGAGGAAACACATTGCTCCAATGTGATTGTGGTAGAGGACGAAGACATTAAGACAAAGAATGCTTCGATGGAGATTCATGTTATGAGCTTGAAGGAGAGTTTGAAACTTGCTAAAGAGAAAGCTGAGTAAAGGAAGCATGCCAAAAAATGTTTGTTTGATGATTTAGTTGGCATTAGGGAGGAAAATGCTAGGCTGGTTGGGAAACTAAGGTTGACCAATGCTCGTTTCTTCTTTGTTATGATCCTTTTCGTAGAACTGCTTGTAGGCACATTGCCATTGCAGGAATGAAGTTAAGTCTGCATATGTAACTTTTTTGTAACTTATGTCTCAAGTTTATGTAAAATGTTGTTAAAAATGATGTTGGGTGTATGTTGTTAAGGAATGATGTTGGTTGTATGTGAAGATTCTGGCAGACGTGTAGTAAGTTAACAACCACATCTTCACATACAGAAAAACCATTCAAACATCCTGAAATTGTTCCTAAATTAACAACATAACAAACAAAGGCTGCCATTTTTTAGTGTCCAAAATGAATCCAATATTTGGAAATCTGACATTATTTCCCCTGGATATAAGGCACCCTGCCAAGCCAAAATAAAACCTATTACATTCACCTAGTACTAGTAATACTACATGATTGAAACATCATAACTTCTGGTCACAACCACCCTCCTACTTCTCCTAGGAAGGCTGTGTCGTTGGTGGCTGCGATCCTCCTTCAGCAATCACCGTAGGCGTTGACCTTGTGCCAAGGTTGTCGTAAGGCCTGCCACTTCTCAACACCCTTCCCGGTCTGTTCTCACCATTTAGGATCACATATGTATTTCCTAAATCAGTGTGCAGCACACCAATTCCTTGGTTCGCCTGCAAATTGTCGAATTGAGATATTATACACCAAACAATGCTTAAGTTGCCAAATTCAAGGAGGATTGAAAGACTTATCATCCTAACTTCTCTGTCTTGAGCAAGTCTACTGGTCACAGCACGATTGACATGTGCTTCCTGATCATACCATTCAAATAAGTTCAATTATGTGTTCTCTAACATCTAATTCTAACATCAGTTGTAATTTTCTATTTATCTCTTACTTGAATTCCACCAACTAGAAGGCAGGTTCTAGCATTGTGGTAACTTTCCTACATTTGGAACGTAACCCTTTGCTTCTTATAACAACTGAGGGTTGACCTTTCTCAGTCTGCCTCTCAATTCGAGCTGCAACCACCCCTTTATATCCCTCATTCCTATGCTAAGTTGGCGAATTCAAGGAGGATTGAAAGAATTACCATCCTAACTTCTCTATATTGAGCTCGTCTATTGGTTACAGCACGATTGACATGTGCTTCCTAATTAGACCATTCAAACAAGATCAGTTATGTGTTCTCTAACATCTAATTCTAACATCAGTTGTAATTTTCTATTTATCTCTTACCTTAATTCCACCAACTAGAGGGAAGGTTCTAGCATTATGCTCAACTTTTCTACATTTGGAACATAACCCTTTGCTTCTTCTCACAACTGAGGGTTGACCTTCCTCAGTCTGCCTCTCAATTTGAGCTAAAGCATCCCCTTCATCTCCCTCGTTCCTCCTACGAACACTCCTACCTCCACTAACATCAACCCCTTCACCTTGAACGTTCCTACTTCCTTCACCTTGTTGTATATTTTGTACATTAATTAGAGAAAAGGTTTCTATATCAAGTTCATACAAACTGCACAGACATTACAGAAAAAGGGTTTCTTAAAACAGTCTACTTACCCGGTCTGCTCGAAGATCCGGACAAGTCCTCACGTTGTGGTCCAGAGTTTTTCACTTCCTACAATGCATGAAACACCTTTTCTTATGGATAGAAGAACCATCATTGCCATGTCGAACCGTCTCGATCTACCCTAGTGTTTTCCTCCTTTTCTTCTTTGGACAACCAGGTAAGATCTCGAACTTTGGAGGATAAACATGACAGTGTAATAGGGAGACACGAACTCAGATGGCTCTATTTTATCCTCTTCCATTGTAGGTAGGCAATGGCATGTAGAAAGGGAATTCCAGTCAACCCCCACGACCCACAACTGCATGTCCTTTCGTCCAAGTTTAACACGTACCCTTTACGATCAACTACCACTTCCAACTTCATGTCCAAGCCTGGACTCACTTGGCACATCTTGGACAACTCCACACCAATTCTTACCTTCTTCTCTATCCTAGGATAGAGGCGATCTGTCCAATCACCAACTTGCCAATTTTTATCAACAATTCTCGCCATTATCTTCCGATGGATGCCCTCAAGCATGTCAATAATCCTAGGTCAAGAATACATAGAATCCAATTACTTGATCAATGAAACATGATAGCACAATTAACCAAGACGAGCTCAAAAGAGAAAGCAAGCCTAAAATCAATTTCTTCTCCTTAGATTGAAACCTCCTCCTTGGTTCTTGGATGGATTCTTCCTTGCTTAGCTCTTCCAAGGTGTTTTCTCTCATTCAAAACTTTCCAAAACCCAAATTTCACTCTAGGTTGACTCCCCTTCGTCAAGTGCTGAAAAATGGCTTCTATAGTGAAATTTGGGGCTTGTTACGACTATTGGGCTTGACCCAAGGACTGGTAATGGATTGCAAGGCGTGACTTTAGCAAAATGGTGTACAAAAGACATGGTACGATCGTCTTAAGGCCTACATTATGGTATTACCACTAGGCCAAGACCTTGTTCGTTAGATTGAGGCTTAACTTGCACGTAAGCAACTCTTAACGTGGCTATGACATGGCCAAAACTCATCTTTTCTTGCTCTTATGAATTTTCAAAGTGCACGGATGAATCCCAAATCGATCCCCCAATCAAATGACGATGAGTATAAGTCCTGGAACATCAACAAAAACATCAAACAAACATACAACATGACAAATATGATAGATTTCCTACGAAAATCACTCAAAGCAAACCTACCTGACGCTAAAGCTCATGGTTTCTAAATATTAACTCATATTAGCATAAAATATATCACTATGTAAAAGTCCTGAACATCAACAAAAATGCCTAACAAGCATAAGCATAACAAAATATGGTAGTTTCTCTATGAAAATCATTCAAAACAACCTAATTCATGTTAAAGCTCATGATTTCCAAATATCAACTAATATTAGCATAAATAAGAATTTAATTTTTATTTAAGTTATTTTAACCCTTATGTCGACAAATCAATGTTGAAATCCATGACATGAGCTAGCTACCTGTATTAAGTCACATAATTAGTAATTATTTTTTATATAATAATTATTATGATTATTCATAAAGGATTGGTGTTCATGAGATACGTATTAGTGATAAGTATTATTTTATCACTAGTAAGATACCATAACTATAATACAACATTCATATTATTATATTTACTCTTAATATATAATAATCTAAAACCCTTTTTTACATCATTTTGTACCCTCTACTTTTTCATCCAAACAACAATTTACCCCTCCACTAACACCCCCCGCAATTTGTACCCCTAGCAATTTACCCCTCAATTTGCACCCCTTGTTGCCAAACAGAGTGTTAAACACGATGATATGATTTTAGGTCTAACAAATAAATTTAAAAAGTAACCAATTTAGACGATATGAAATTGAAAACCACACTTTCATCAAATAGATAAAACATCCATCAATAAAATGGTCAAATCAAATCCATGCGTGAGGCGTAAAATATAAATAAAAAAATGGAAGGAGCCTCCGTCTTCTTCTTGCCAAGTGGCATTGTAACAGTAGGGACACTATAGTAATTTTCAAGGTGACAGATGTTATTTTCTCACAAAGGGAAGGAAAATGGCCACATTGCAGAAACAAACTTTCTTGTTGCTGTGCCTTATAAAACTCAATCACTCACTCCTACTGCTCAGTCCTACTTCCCCCAAAAACAAGAATAATCTCTCAAATCTTTCCTTTCCTTTCCTTCTGTCACTTCTCTGCCTCAAAGCTTCAACCTTTCTTCTCCCTCCTTCCACCAGAGGAAAACATCTATCCCAGAACCACAAACCAATTACCTCCATTTCTGCACAAGCTTTGAAAATCCAAACTGAAACCCTGTTGGAATAGCCATTTCCAACACAAGCTGCAGATGAGTTTCAGCTCTCTTCACTCCCAAAGTTTCTACATTGCCCTGAAAATCCCCACGACCTCCTTTCGCCGCAAGCTCTGTTAGATCGTTGAAGGGTGAGTAATTAAAAGGGTAACTGGTTTTCCCCCTGAATCCCAAATCCCATCAGAACGCCAAAATCTCTCTCTGCCTTGAATCATACATGGCGAGCGACACTGTCTCCGGCGGCATCGTTGGTTTTGGCCTCCTCTCCTGCGACCCTCTCTGGATACCTCCCCCTTCCGTCGATTTCCACGGTATTTCACCTTTTTCCTTTGTTGAACCTCTGTTTCAATTCCATCATCTGTTTTCTCTTAATTGAGTTTCTTTATGTTCTCAAGGGACGAGACATTTGTTGGATTTCGACAATGTTGGGTGCGGAGACGCCATGGACGGAGGAAGTTTCTTCCACTCTCTGGTGAAAGAAGAGCTCTGCGACGAGGATTTCGAACTGGGTTCCAGCCCTAGAGGCAAGAAACGGCGGCTGACCATCGGCCAGGTTCACTCCCTGGAAAGAAGCTTCGAGATGGAGAACAAGCTGGAGCCGGAGAGAAAAGTGCAGCTTGCCCAGGAGCTCGGCTTGCAGCCTCGCCAGGTCGCCATATGGTTCCAGAATCGCCGGGCTCGGTTCAAGAACAAGCAGCTGGAGAGAGATTTCGACTCCCTCCGTGCCAACTTCGACCGCCTCAAATCCGATTACAACTCCCTGCTCCAAGAAAAAGAAACCCTAAAAAACGAGGTAAGAAAACAAAAAAAAAAACCCTGCTTTCATAATCTCCAGGGGAAACCCATAATTTTAGCCTGATTGTGTCGAGAATTTCCCGACAGGTAATTTCGCTGAAGGAGAAATTGGGGACGAGGGCGAATCTGACTAATTTGGGTGGAACGGCGACGTTTATGGTCCCGGCCATTATTCCGCCGCCGCCGATGAAGCCAGAGGAAGCGACGGCGACGGCGACGGCGACGGGGAAGAGCAACGTGATCAATTCGGACAGCCCGCATTCGGTGCTGATGGAAGCGGCGGAGTCGTCGCAAGTCTTCGAGGAGAACGTTTCCGATTACTTCTCCCAGGACGAAGACGACAGCCTGTACATTAACAACAACATTAGAAGCAACAACGAGCTTCTGATGATGGCTCAGCCGTCCATTAACGGGTTCCCCAAATTCAACGAGCTTCCTGGGGTGCCCAATTCCTGCGGTTTCGAGTTTCCTGTGGAGGATCAGCCCTTTCTGGTGCTGGATTTGATGAACTGGATGTGATTTATTTTTAACAAAGGAAGAGTCCGTCCAGAGCTTCCCGGAGACTTTGAAGAACCAGAAATTGTTAAAGCAGTAGTTTCCAATTTCACACAGCTTCTGTACAAAGAAAAATCAGTGCACAGTGGATCGTAAGAACAAGATTTGGCGCTCTTGGTGCTAACCACGGTGGTTAATCATCCTGTGGTTGTAGTAAGTATGGCACTCAGGCGAGAAATTTGACTTGGAGTGAAACGAAGTTGCCTAGGGGCGCCAATGGTGGTTTACTTGCGTAGTAGTTACACAGTAAAAAAAAAGTATAATGTAGTGTGTTTTTTTTTTTACTATATATCATTTATCCTGATAGGGTTAACTTTAACTCTCTGCTTTGAGCAAGCTCCCTTTGTAAAAGCCGTTGGGCCATTAAAGAAGCTCTCTCTTGGCAAGATTTGTGAATAAGCAATCAAAATCCACTTTCAACCCTTTCTTTCTGCAAATCATTTGCATCATTTTGGTTACATTGTGGCTTCCTGGAAATGGAGTTACTTGAAATTTTCAGGTACTTTTTCATCTAGCAAGTGAGGTATGTTGTTGGTCGAACTAGCAGAGGACGTTAGAGAGTCGAACGATATTAGAGTCGGTTAACCGAAACTTCAAGAAACTACCTGATCTTTTGTTTAACCAAAGTTAACGGTAGAGTTCGTATGTCGATATAATGAATGATAAGAACATGTGGAAAATATAACTAGTAGGCAAAGGATTCATCATAAAGCCTCTTGTGTGCTTATGAAAGCCGTTCAGACAATTGTGGGTTTCACTTTCAAAGGGAGGGGAAACAACGTGAATCAACAAGTTTGAATAGTTTGACAAGTCATGAAACTTTTTGTGTAGTTACTTTTTTGTTTTCCCCTTTCTGGGTGGCTTTGCTTGGCTAAGTCAAGATTCCGGTGTCATATATATACTGGTGTGCCAAGTTTCCATAATAAAGGCTCTTCACATAGCCATGACTTCTAGGCACATCTACTCTTTTTAGGGTACCGAAGGATGTTGACAGCCACCAAAACAAATGAATTTTAAAAACAAAGCCAAAGGAGGGATGTTGACATGTTTGTGTACTCATGGAAGGTTAGACAACTTCATCAACGTGGTTTTTTACATTAAGGGGTCGTTTGGAAGTTGGGATTTCAGATGATGTATTTGGCAATACATGTAATCAGAAGAATTCGTCGTTTTTTTGTCTTAAAAAGAAACAGAATACTTGTATTTGAACAACAGATGGGACCACTAGAATCATTCATTATGAATGATTGCAAATCTCAGCTTTTAGCAGAGATTGTGTTTGAGGTATTGTTAGCTTACTTTTTCTTTCTTATTCTTTGAGGGACCACCAAAATCATTCAATCTCCAAACAATGTATTTTTCAAATTCATACATTGAAACAATACATCTAATTATAATACATACATTGATTAAATACATCAATTTAGAGAATCCCAACTTCCAAACATGCTCTAAGATTCAATGTTATTTCACTGGGTTATAGGTGTCACAAATTTGATATAGAATATTGATTTAGTTATCCGGAAGAGAAGATCTCGCTATAAAGCGAGCAACTTGATCAATTCTAGTGTTAAACTTCGTAGAACTTAATAAGAAGGTTCGGTCTGAGGGATGACACTATTGGTCTCATCCATACTGCACTCTTTTAAGGGGATTTCAAAGAGTTTTGGGATAAAACTTGAATCAATACTAGATAATCTGATTGGATCGCACATTATGCTCCATATTCTTGTGCTAATTTAAGATCTTCTAGAAGGGCTTTCATTCCCGCTTCAATTGGAATAGAACTAGGGATTGTATCAGCTCGACCATCCCATACTTGTTCTTTGACCTTCAAGTGGTCTTGAGGGCCGCTACCAAGGTTGTCAACCCGCGGGTTGACCCGGACTCGGTCTAGCTAGTGGGTCAAGGGTTAACGGGTCACCCGTTTTAGCCCGCTTCAGCCCGGAAATATGAAAAGAGTCATTATATATAGGGATGGCAATTTCGACCTGACCCGATTTACCCGACCTGTTTGACCTGTTTTGGGGCGGGTCAAACCCGCCCCGTAGGCGGGGCGGGGCGGGCATGGGTACCTCTCATCTACCCGACCTGCCCTGACCCGCCCCATTCTCGACCCGTTCTTGCCTAAATTACATATAATCTTAGTGAAATTACTTAAGATTTTCCTCTTATTACATTATATTTTAGCTATAATAAAGTTGTAAATAAGTGAAAACCTCAATTTCTTCAATAATTTAACTACATTTTATCATATTATGGTTTCTTTCTTGGTCTTTCAATGAAAAGAACGAATATTTCTAATGTTTTCACATAAATTACATACCCAATGGGTCGACCTGCCCCGACCTGCACCCCGTAATAAATTACCCGACCTGGACCCGACCTGCCATGGGGCGGGTATGGGTATCGAGATACCCGCCCCGGACCTGCCCCATTGCCATTCCTAATTATATAGTACTTATCTTGATAAATTATATCAAATCTCATCTAACATATGAATAATAACATGTAACATTACACCAAAGTAACATGTCATACTTAGTTCCAACATATAGCGAAAATTCACACACACTTATATAACATCAATATTCAAATGTTTGACTAAGGATTCCAAAGTTGAGTTAGGCAAAAGGAAAAGTCGGAAAATAGGCGCATTTCGCAAACCAAAGAAAAAATGACACAATTTGACCTCCAACCCGATGCTTTGTAGCGGTCAACCCGACGGGTGCGTGCAGCCCGTTTTTTTCATTGGGTCAGGGTCAAAGTGGGTTGACTCGGGGGTCGACCCGTGGGTTGACAACCTTGGCCGCTACTAATAGTAATCCACGGGTCTTGATATCATCCCCTAACCCATTCATTCTGATACTGGTAAGTGCTTTTTGTTGTACAAGACATATGATCACTCCAAAGGATTTAATGTATGAAATTAGAATGTGTTCTTCCCAAGTTCCCTTACGATTTAAGCTCTTAATCATGATAGTCCCCAAATTGGCGGGGTCTAGGGGGTTCAAATTGGCGGGTTATGGAACTTGCCAATTTTGGTCTTAAGACCTACAAATTTGGCTAGGTGCAACATCTCACATATAGTAAGTTTTGGGAAACTTCAGGTTGATGGACTGAAATTGGGGTTAGGCAACCTACCAATAACATATTGTGCACTCTTAAGTGGCTACTCCTTCGTCCGGCATCAAATTTTGTCCTTGTTCAATTTTCACACGCTTGTCTGCTTCCCATGTATTCGCCGCAACTTAAAACTCTACTACAATCGATAAGAAGTGCAAACATGTGGTAAATAAAATATAATGCAAATATAGACCCCAAAATAACCAAGCATAAGAAATTACTAATTAGTGAAATGTCGCTAAATATAAGAGACATGAACACTATAATTCAAGTGCCATCAATAGACACACAAACTTTAAGCACCGTATCGAGGTTATCGAATCTCAGATTTCTTGCACCCAGTCTTAGGCCTAAAAATTTAGTGTTCCTGATTTTTTTTTTTTGCAATATCACAATACTTCTTTTGATCAACTTTAAATCCAACTAGACACTTCTAAAAAATCGACACTAACACTTCAATATTGTACTTTGTGAAACCTCAAACTAACACTTCAATACAGTCTTAGGCGTAATTTGCCGGAGCGTGCAGGGTATTTTAGCTGACATGGGTGAGAATACGTGGCGACATGCGAGACGCCAAGCGAATATGGCGGCACACATCATGGCACATAGTGATATAAGCTGGAACTCTCCAGTGTTGTGGGTTGATAGTCCTACACATTTCCTTGTTAATCAGTTGATTTTGGACAATGTAACGATTTCATCTGATTAATGAGATAAGCAAGTTTCGATAAAAAAATTAGGTGGAACATTAATTGCCTGAACTCATATTGCATTTAGATGGGTCGTTATAATGAATTATTTGAGTCAGAATAATTAATTCGGAAATTCTTTTTTAGAGATGTGATATTTCGATTGAGTTATTTCAATTGGCTAATTTTGAATAATTTATAATAAATCAAAGATAATTATTTGGCATAAGCCAGAAATACCATATTATCAAATAAAACGATTTTTTATTTCAAAATATCATATAAAATTATATATCCCTAGGGATGGCAATGGGTCGGGTCGGGGACGGATAGTGCATATCCGTTACCCTACCAAAGTAGTTGGGGTTTTACCCATACCCATACCCACATAAGAAACGGATAGAAAATCCAAACCATGCCTATACCCGTTCGGGTTTCGTGTTTCGGGTATCCACGATTATCCGTGGGTAATAGTTTCTCTTTAACTCCAACAATATGTTAATATTCACACGTATTCTCACATTACGTAAGACGAAAAGTACGACAACAATATGTTAAAATAACACAATTTCATAAAAATATTATATTTATATGCTAGGTATAAAATATGTTAGAGAAAAATATCGATTATTTCTAGACAAAATACATATGCATGTGTATAATCGGACGTGTTCAAGTTGGATAATGAGAAAACCATACCCACCCATTACCGACAATATTCGAGTTCGGCTTTTACCCATACCCACTAAAAGTCATTCGGGTTTTACCTTACCAGATTAGATCGAATTCGAACGGATATCTACGGTTACGAATATTTTTGTCATCCTATATATCCCAACGACTCAATGTAATTTAATCATAAAATTTTGATTTTTGATTCAGGTTATTGATAATAACTGCACCAGGTAGTACCTGTCAGAATTGATTATTGTTTAATCTAACCAACCAGATATGGACTTATTAAAGAATATCCTCAAGATATTAACAAATAAATAAATAATGGGTTTTTGCTGATATCGACACATATGTTCTTCTAAATTTATATCCCATAAAATATATGAAAAGATCTCTTTTTTAATTAAACTATTATTTTATATATGCTGTGGAGTTTGGTGGAATGTGGATTGGACTTTCTGGTGGCATATTATTTACTAGTTTGTTGCAAACAATGTGAGCTCTTTTTGGAAATAAACTACGGAAAAAATATCTTCTCTTGCATTGACTCATCATTTTATTTCATTGCGATATTAGAGGTTTATATTTGGTAAATTATGAACGAACAAGTGATTAGTTGAATTTATGACATTACATGAAAAAATTAATTGATATATAGATGAAATTATTCAGACGGTGTGTAAAAATGTTATGTGTGTAAATATAAGTAATTATATGGGAAAATTCTTAGGTCCAACCTGGATTGGATGCTCAAGTTCCAACCAGCCACATGTTAGCTTCTTATTAGTGTTATTAGTGAGTTGATCTTTTTTATTTTAATTCTTGATTTATTTAGTATAATGAAAAACATTAAATATTAAGAATAAAAAAAAGTGAATCAACCAATAACAAACTGACATGTGACTGGTTGGAGCTTCTCTATCCAACCAAAGTTGGAGCTAAGAATTTTCTATTTATATGAATAATTAATAAATTTCAATGAAAATATATACAATTTTTTATGAATGAAAATAGATATTTTGTGGATGAATGCTGAAATAAAATTTTGTGTCTTCCGTGTACACCAAAATTTCCTTTACTGTTTCAAGTTTTTAATGAATAAATTAATTGTTTTCAAAATGATTAACTCTTCATTTCGTAGAAAGGGACATCTTTGGTAGATGAATTTAATTTATCCTCGTCAAAAGTAGAAAGAGATATCGCTTTCTTCCCCGTTCCTTTCATTTTACATTTTCCCCTTGTTGATATGAAGTTGGAAACTATAATGAGTATAAGAGTGAAAGGAATTTCATAAGATAAATTTGTTAATTAATGATATTTTTATAATCTCTTGTCAGACAGATAATATTTTATATTTTTTGGTGTAAGAAAGATAATATTTTATACTACTTTTGTTATTTTTTGAGACCATATTAATTTTGTTTCTAACTTGTAAAAAACTGAGGAGCTCGATATGTGTACTAAAGAGTAAAGACTGCTGCTGCTACGAAGTGACACTGAGCACCACCCACATCGCACGATGATCACTACTGTGCGCAGGTTACTCGAGCTGGAGTGGGAGGTGCGTATCAAGCATGTGTATCGAGAGAGTAATATCGTTGCTGATTATATTACTGGTCTCGGCCATTCCCTACCCATAGGGGTGCATGTGTTTGATAATCCGAGCCCGATGATAAACTATTGGTTGTACCATGATATCGTTGGAGTTCAGACTCCCCGTTTAGTAATTAATTAAGGATTAGAGCGCCCCTCTGTGCTATGTTTCTCACCAAAAAAAAAAGTAAAGACTGCTTGCAACCCTTACTAGCTGATATTTTTTTTGTTTTTGCCTTTTTGTAAGCAATAATTGGGTCATCAAAACTAGCTTCAATTTGTGTTCATTTGTGTATCTTTGGATTGTTTAATCATGATATTGGTTATTAAGATGATCCAATAAGTCATTAAGAAGGTTGTCACCCGCGGATCGACCCGTCGGTTGATCCACTTTAACCCTAACTCGGTGAGAAAAACGGGCCGCACACACTCACCGGAACAACCACTGCAAGGTACTAGGTTGAAGGTCAAATTGTGTCATTTTTTCCTTTGATTTGCGACATGCGCCTATCTTCTGGTTTTCCTTTTCGCATAACCCAATCTTCGAAATTCTAAGTTGAACATTTGAATATTGATGTTATATAAGTGTGTGTGAATTTCCACTATATGTTAGATTCAAGTATGACATGTTATTTTGGTGTAATGTTATATGTTATTAGTCATTATTTAGATAATGACTAGTTTCATATACCCGGTCTAAATAGAGCTAAAGCGGTCGGACCATTAACCCTTAATCCACTTGTTCGACAGGGCCAACGGGAACCTTGATCATTAACAATCTTTTTTTTTTTTGTGGTATTCAGATGATACATTCGAAGTAGTTAAGTTGGTCCGATTGTATTACAGCCAGATATTAATTTGAGTTGAAATAACTCATGTGACGGCAAAAAATCAACATTTGACACGTGAAAATTTAAAGTACTTTATTTAGTGGAAGTTCGAATTGTCGAAGGGGGAGGATGACAATTTGAATCACCTCGTTTAACAATTCGTTTGACTAAAAAAATACTTCATTTTAGAAAGAAAAAAACTCGTCCAGACTACCGATTAAGAAAGGGTGTATATATATGTGTTTATATCATTCAAGTTAATCTTGCTTCATATTTGGATATTCGTAGCAAAGCTAGGTCATTATCATGAACAACTTGACATGGACATGAATAAATACATATACAGTACTTAGCAAGAAAATTGGTACTTGCTTTTGTACCCCCCAATGGAGTAGTTATTCAATGATGTGGACTAAATCACAAGTCTATTTGGTCGTTCACTAATTTTGGGGAAGAATGTTGATTGAAAAATAAAACCCTAATTATAGAAAAGAAACCCTACAATGAGTTAAATTAACAATTAGTCAAAGAAAACCCTAGATCAGCAGAAAGAAGCAACCAACCAACCAAAAACCAGAATTTATTTCCAGGGTCAAGTCAACAACATCATGCTGTACATTTTGATTCCTTCACTTAAAATTTTGCAACTCTGAAATGCCAACCAATGGCATCTATGAAGAAATCCTGTGGGGCAGATCTTCATTTTCTTAATGGTTTTGGGAATTGTTTTTATATATGATGAATGAAAGTTCTAATTGTTGCTAAAGACATATCAATGGCGATGAAGGGTCGAAATGTAGCATCCAGGTTCCCTCTGTTTTTTCCCCCTTGGGTGGGAAAATTGATAGTTACAGGTATGTTTGATGAGAATAGATACAATTCAGTAGTCACGATAACCATTTCGAGTTCCAAAAGGCACTTTTACTAGCATTGTGGTTAACGCCACCATGGATTTCTAGTGCACCCATTTTCGAAAAATGGAATCCTTGTGTGGCCTTTTTTATTCGGCAATCAAATTGTATAAGCCAAGAATATATTTTCACTAAATTACCAAATTGATAAATTTGGATGTTTAATTGGCTTTAAATTAGTCAATCCAACAAGGTATAGGAATTTGTTGGGCTAGAAGGAGGCTTGGGTTTTTATTGTGCTGGCCCGTTACCAACCGCACTGTGACGCCAAGCAATGGTGAATTGGTGATGCTTCATGAAAAAGCAGCATCGACGTATATTAACACAATGTTGCATCGTGTTGATTGATGTGGTTAGAGTTGTGGGCGATAAGACAAGAGTGGAAAGGTAAGCGAAGTCATACTTGAAAGGATGAAGGTGTCCAATGATAAAGTGAGAGTCCTTAAACCTTGTGGAGTTAACCCAGTCAAAGGGTATAACTTATAAGTAAACTCTAGCATATATTGGCGTTATGTCAGAGAGCTAGAATATTTATTGATGTTGATCCACTCTTCCCAAAGAGATGATTTTGACCATATACATGAATGTATATGAACAACATTCCCCAAATCGGAAACGTTGGTTTCAACAACTATGGCGAAATAGTTGAAATGTGGGGGATAAATTGGGGAGAAGTAATGTGGAATGTCGCTTGGGTGATTCTAAAGTGAAAGTGATACTTAGAAGTTTTGCGTAAACCCTAAGTTAAGTCATAGATGTCACTACATTTGAAGAGATACTTGTGAAACTCAAGTACTCTAAGGTTAATGAAGTAGAGAGACTTCAACACCGTTGGCATGTGTTTTGATTATTGCAAGGCAATAAAATCAAGGCAAACACATAAGATGTGTAGTGAATTGAAAAGAGACGAGTCTTTGGGGAATTTTACCCAAAGGAACTCACTGGGTGAACCAAAAGCCATAGTCCATTAATGAATAGGCATTTATAGTTAACGAGGAGCAGTATCTTGGA